GAAGAAGCAGTTGGCTGTCCACTTCTGAGGAATAAGCTACTGAAAACCTAGAAATAGCATCAAAACATTGTCAGTTACTGAAAACCTGATGAACAGAAGCAGAACATGGTCAGAGAGTGACAGAAGATGAGCCTCTGAAGTTAGGAAAAAAAACAAACACTGCCATTGAGTCATTTCCTATTCAGCAACGCTATAGGATGAAGTAGGACTGCCCCTGTGGGTTTCCTAGATGCTAGCTCTTTCTCCCCTCAGGTCAGAAGTCATTCAAAATATGACTGAGGAAGAGCTGCCTTCTCAAGGAGAGTTGACTAAAATGATGTGGATGGAGTAAAGCTTTCAGAATCTTCATTTGCTGATGGGGCACAACCCCAAAATTCAAGGAAACAGCTGCAAAGATCTCTTAATAATTGGAACTTTGAATAAGTTGTGTGAATCTAGGAAAATTGGAATTTGATAAAAATGAAATAAAATGCATAAAAATCTATATTCTAGATGCTAGTGAGTTAAAATGGTCTGGTATTGGCCATTTTGAATCAGAAAATCATATGGCTTGCTACGCTGAGAATGACATAATCAAGAGGAATGGCATTGCATTCATCGTCACAAGCACATTTCAAGCTCTATCTTGAAGTACAGTGCTCTGTCTGATAAGATAATGTCTGTCCCATGCAAGGAAACCCAGTCAATACAACTATTACTCAAATTTATATACCAACCACTAAAGCTATTAGTAAAAAAAATAGAGGATCTACCAACAACTTCACTCTGACATTGATCAAACATGCAATCAAAATGCATTGATAATTATTGGTGATTGGAATGTAAACATTGAAAACAAAAGGAAGGGACAGTAGCTGGAAAACATGGCCTTGGTGATAGAAGTGAAGCTGGAGATCACGTGATAGAATTTTGCAAGTCTGAGGACTTTTTCATAGCAGATGCCTTTTTCAACAGCAAGATGGGGACTATACATGTGGATTTCTCCAGATGGACTGCACAGAACTCAAATTGACTACATCTGTAGGACAAGACAATGGAGAAGCTCAGTATCAGTGGCTAAAAGGAGACCAGGGGGCTGATGGTGTAACAGACCATCAATTGCTCATATGTAAATTCAGGTGGAGGTTAAGCAGTCCTGGCATTTATAGAATGAACTAGTTGTGAATTATATTTATTTTACTCCTTATGGGAAAGATTACAACAAATTTTTAACTCCATGCTGTGAATATTAATTTTTTCATGATTTATGTAGTTTGTTTATCGATGGACACTTTTACAACAGGATTTATGAAGCTGGGTCGGAGAACAACACAGCAGTTGTGGCCGTAGAAACTCACACGATACACAAAATTGATGAAGGGATTGGTAAGTCATTTTGCTAATCTTGTACCTTTGCTTTTAGTTTACCTGGTTGAAATTTTCTCCTTGCATGCCCTGTGTTTTTCCTTCTACCTACTGTGCCTTGCCAATTATGCAGCCATCAGTTTGAGGGTGGTGCATGTAGAGCTATCACTAACTGGATGTTGGGGCGCTCACTTTGTGATAATTACGTAACCTCAGTTTGCTATTGTTGCTGAAGGGTCTCTGTTCTGTAAAAATCTCCAGAAGAAATTGATTGCCTCAAAGTGAATCCCTCCAAGTTGCTGCTGAGGCCTTCTCATGCGGTGATGACTGAAAAGCAGGCAGTGGGAAGAAAAGGGATTTTGAAGTTAGACAAATCTGAGCTTGCATCCCACTCTCTCCCTTCCCTGTGTGTCCTTGGGAAAATCATTTCACTTTTCCAGTCTTACATACTAAATGAGTAGGAAACACTCAATGCCTCTTAAGATTTTTGTAAGAACCAAATGAAATAATGTAAAGATAGCATGTAGTGGGAGTTTGGTAAACGATAGTTGCTAGGCAAAACTCTTAGAGGATTCCTAAACAATACCAACAATTATGACCAGTTAGCCTTTCAGAAGAACCAGGAGACTAGATTTTGAATGGATCCAATCAAAAATCTTGATAGTTTTTTTCTATTTTCAGATGCAAGTACTATAGAAGCTAATGAGGATATGGAAATTGCTTATCCCATAACTTGTGGAGAGAGCAAAGCCATTCTTCTTTGGAAGAAGTTTGTATGTCCAGGAATAAATGTGAAATGTGTTAAGGTAATTATCTTTTTTTCCTTGATGGGACCTATTTTGGGACTACTTGTTTTGCAGCGGTTCTCAACCTGTGGATTGTGACCCCTTGGAGGGGGTGTGTGT